TCCCGTAGGATTTACATATTTGACCTAATGGTCTTTCTCGAAAGATTTAGAGTGTGTTTGGTAGGGATTTTTGGGGGAAGAATTGATTTTTGAATAGTGATATGATGGGAAATGTGTGGTTGAAAAAAAAGAAAAAAGTATTGATGTGACGGAAAATATTTTTTTACTGAAGAATGTGTGGTTGAAAATGAGAATTGATTTGAGAATCAGAAGCAGACAGGCCTTAATATTTTCTTGACTCTTGATTGTCAAAAACAGGATTTTTACATTTTAGGTATATCCATTCTAGAATTTTAGTAAAGAGGAAATTATCTATAAAATTATTGGAAAAATCGGTAATTTTTCATTTTCGTGTAATTACTTAAATGCTTTATTTTTTATTTTTTACTTTTTTTTGTTTTGGTCACGAGTTTCAATTGATTGTCTATAAATGACAGCAGTAACACTCTTATCCACTCCTCAGCGTAGGGATCGGTGTCAATTTAAGTAGGCCCCACTACACTTGGTCTTCACTAACTAACAATTGACACGTGTCCATAAACCCCTTCTTTTTAGTTTTTACCTTGGGCTTGCTCGAATTCGACATGGCCATTCCGGAGGTAAAATCGCAAAACAGAAATACCAAAGATCTCGCCACAGTCGGATAAGTGTCGAATTAAGTGCCGTCAATTCCATCAAGTTAGCTGTAAACTTCGCTTCCATTTGTCCCCATTATTTATTTTACGTTATAATAAGAAGAGTAATAATTTTTTGAAGAATGTATGATTAAAAGAAAATGAAAAATTTTAATTTTATGGGATATTGTGTGGTTAATATGAAGAGAAAAAAAAATGAATTATAATTTAATGGGGACCAAACGAGAACTTCATTCGAATTAAGTTAAATGAATATAATGTTTGACATTGGAGTTGACCGACCATTCACATTGCATGTGGGTCCCGACCTGAATTAAATAATGTCAACCTCCACATGTGTGTGTTGTGTCATCTCCTATATCAATCATTATGTTTGTGTAGCAAAACTCACTTCCTGCTTATTAGTGGGGTCTGTCTGAAATCTGTACACGATAATAAAAAAAAGAAAGAAAAAGGTTGAAAATAAGTTAAAAGAATAAAATAAGGCTGAAAATCAGATATTTTTTATTTTTTAAAATAAAAAAGAAATAATTTAAGCACGAGTTCCGATGA